CCAACAAAAATATCCCACTCAGGGTCTGATCTGGGGTTAAACCTTTGGCAAACTCCCCTCTGGTCCAATTCACAACAAAAAACAGAAGAGGGAATGAGCTACAAATGTGTCTCCACAAGTGACCTTCCCAATCTTGGTGTCTAAAGATTGTGGCAAAGAATGGAACAAACAGGGAAATTTTCTCTGTTCCCACTTTCTGAGGTGCCAAAATCAGCTCCAAAGGGAATGCTCCCAGCAGCCTGAGCTCTCCTCAGCAGCAGGTTTTTGTCACAGAGAAAATCAGCACCACTAACAAAACTCCAACAAAAATATCTCACTCAGGGTCTGATCTGGGGTTAAACCTTTGGCAAACTCCCCTCTGCTCCAATCCACAACAAGAAACAGAGGGAATGAGCTACAGGACACAGAAAGGTGTCCATGAGAGGCCTTCCCAACCTCATTGTCCAAAGACTGTGGCAAAGAATGGAAGAAACAGGGAACAAACCGGGAACAGGGAAATTTTCCCTGTTCCCACTTTCTGAGGTGCCAAAACCATCTCCAAAGGGAATGCTCCCAGCAGCCTGAGCTCTCCTCACCAGCAGTTTTTTGTCACAGAGAGAATCAGCACCACTAACAAAACTCCAACAAAAATATCTCACTCAGGGTCTGATCTGGGGTTAAACCTTTGGCAAACTCCCCTCTGGTCCAATTCACAACAAAAAACAGAAGAGGGAATGAGCTACAGGACACAGAAAGGTGTCCATGAGAGACCTTCCCAACCTCATTGTCCAAAGACTGTGGCAAAGAATGGAAGAAACAGGGAACAAACCGAGAACAGGGAAATTTTCTCTGTTCCCACTTTCTGAGGTGCCAAAACCAGCTCCAAAGGGAATGCTCCCAGCAGCCTGAGCTCTCTCGTTTTTTTTCACAGAGAAAACCAGCACCACTAACAAAACTCCAACAAAAATATCTCACTCAGGGTCTTATCTAGGGTTGAACAGCAAATTCCCCTCTGCTCCAATCCATCACCAAGAAACAGAGGAGGGAATGAACTACAGGACACAGAAAGGTGTCCATGAGCGGCCTTCCCAATCCTGGTGCCTAAAGATTGTGGCAAAGCATGGAACATTTTCCCTGTTCCCACTTTCTGAGGTGCCAAAACCATCTCCAAAGGGAATGCTCCCAGCAGCCTGAGCTCTCCCCAGCAGCAGTTTTTTCACAGAGAGAATCAGCACCACTAACAAAGCTCCACCTCCAAGCACAACCTGGGCTGTTACAGCCCCGGGGGGAATGAAGAGATCAGAGCCATCCCCTGGAGAGGCAGCCACACAAAACAACAGGATGTGACTGCAAGATTNCTCACCTGGGTCCCCTGTGCACTCCCCTGGGTCACCTGTGCACTCACCTGGGTCACCTGTGCACTCACCTGGGTCCTCCGTGTGCTCACCTGGGTCCCCTGTGTGCTCACCTGGGTTACCTGGGCGCTCACCTGGGTTCCCCTGTGCACTCACCTGGGTCCCCTGTGCACTCACCTGGGTCCCCTGTGCATTCACCTGGGTCCCCTGTGCGCTCACCTGTGCACTCACCTGGGTCCCCTGTGTGCTCACCTGGGTCACCTGTGTGCTCACCTGGGTTCCCTGTGTGCTCACCTGGGTCCCCTGTGCACTCACCTGGGTCACATCTGCACTCACCTGGGTCACATCTGCGCTCACCTGGGTCACATCTGCGCTCACCTGGGTCACCTGTGCGCTCACCTGGGTCCCCTGTGTGCTCACCTGGGTCCCCTGTGCACTCACCTGGGTNCACTGAAATGTGGAAACCACAAATCTCACACATCATGTATATGTTATATTATATATATGTTATATTTTATAGAAGAATAATATATATGTTATATTATATATATAATATATAATATATAATATATAATATATAATATATAATATATAATATATAATATATAATATATAATATATAATACATTATATATATGTTATATGTTATATGTTATATTTTAAAACTCTAAATTTGAAGTTTTTATTTTGTGATATTACACACTTTTAATCAACTTCGCACTTGTAATTTTAGTGTTATTAACACTTCTGGTTTATGGCTTTAGGTTAAATGTAGGATTCTTTTAGGGGTTAAGAATTGTTTAGTACAGAAAGTTTGGAATATTCAGCATTTAGGAGGTGCAGGAACAGTTAAAGCTGCTTTCCTGCCCTTGTTTCCAACACCAATTACTGCTCCAGGGCAGCGCAGGGCTCGAGCCACTCAAGATACTCGTTAGGAGGGTTTGTCTTTAATCCACGGGGAGACAATCAGCAGCTCTGTCAGCAGAGAGGACGTGGCTAATTAGTGCCCTAACGAGGCCAGGCTCTGCCACAGGCACTGTCCCCCACACCCCTGGGGCACCTGCAGGAGCCAAGGTTCTGCCAGGAAACACCCAAAAAATCAAACCTCTGCTGAAAAAACGCCAGTTTGTGCCCTTGGAAAGGGCTCAGGTAACCCCCAGGATGGAGGATTTAGGAGAAACTGTGAGAAATGTTTTCTTTGCCACCTTTTCACACAGGCTCAGTGTTTTCACTTTTCATGTTAAATTCAGGAATTAATGGTGCTGAGCTGTCCCAATCCCAAATGCAACAACCAGCTGTATTCCAATGGCTCTCCAGAGCTGGAAACAGCAAAGAAAGTGGTTTCTAGAACAGAGCAAAAGCTGTGGCTGGGAATTTTCTACACTCAGCTGTCACCACAGTCCAGAAAGCACCAAGATCCCCCTCTGTGAAGGGTGAAAACCCCACTGCAACACAGGTTTTCCTGCCCAGCCCAGGTGGGTGATGCTCTCCATCCCCAAGGCTGGAGAAACATCTTTGCCCAGGCAAATAAAGGCTTTATTTCCCTCCAGACCACTGGGGAAGCAGAGCAATTAAAAGGAGAATTATTTTCACCTCCTCACTGATGACACCTCTGCACCTGCCTGCTGGCACCTGCTGAAAGCACAGGCCTCATTTTTCCAGTCCCTGCCATCCTAATTACATTTATATTTATTTTTGTTCCAGTTTTCTATAGGGTTTTTTGCAACTTAGCTGCAAAAAAATCTGATTTTTTTTTACTAGAAAATACAAATAATTATCCTGGAAGCTCTGGGAATCAAGATTCCCACAATAAATGATGGCACCTCTGTGCCCAGCTCAGGAGAAACCTTTCCACAAAGCTCTTCTGAGCCACCTCACTGTGCTGGAACAATGAGGGCCATTCCTAGAAAAATCCTTGATTTTCTACCATAGAGCAGCAGGTGGGGATTTAAAAGAAGAGGTTCTACATCTGCACCTCGGGCTGGCTGAGCAAAGGCCCTGCAGGACCAGGAGGAGAAAAACATTTCCATGGGGAACTGCAAAAGCTGCCACGAGCAGCTCCTGCAGTGCCACCTTTCACAGGAGTTTAAAATCCAAGAAATCGTTTTTGTCTTATTTATCAGGGATTGGGGAAATGATCTGTACCAGCCAAAGCACAGTAAGCTCAAAAAAACTTATTATTATGGGTGTGAGCTTGTCTGATTCCACTAAGAAATGGAAATGGTGCTTTGAGCAGGGTGTGACAGAAAAACCTGCACATCTTTGCCCTGCTCTGACCTCTTTGTGTGCTGCCCTTTCCATCTTGCTACTCCCTCGAAAAAAAACCTGCTTTTCAGCAATTTTAATTTAATTTTTAATTTAAAACTTGTCGTGGTGCCTCGGGCTGGGTGTACCCAGAGCCTNCCAGGGGCTGCTCTCACCTGGATGAGGGACACGGTGCCGTCGGGGTTGCTGAAGGTTTGCACCACGGTCTGGGAGGGCACCAGGTGGGCGATGCTGTGCGTGGTCGTGGTCTGCGGCGTCTGCTGGTCCTCGAAGGCGTAGAGCAGGTCCTCGCGGCCGTGCTGCTTGTAGCAGTTCTTGACGATGGTGCGCAGGGCCTGGGTCCAGGACACCTGCCAGCAGCAGGGACAGGGGACAGTCAGCCCAGGGAAGGGCTCTGAGCCAGCCCAGCGCTGGGGTTTGCACTGTGTCCTCACTGGGCTTTGTAATGGTTCACAAACAACCCCAATATTTAATCTCCCTCTGCTCGTCCCCTCCTTCCCCCAAGGAATCACCCTGGAGAGCCTCCTGATCCAGTGAAGATGTCCCAGCTCAGACTCCTTTAAAAGGGTCCTTGCAACCCCAACCATTCTGTGACTCCAAGCAGACAGAAAGCCACGGTGATTTGGGAAAGCACCAAAGTGCTGCCACAGCACCATTTCCAGCCAGTCCTGAACCAGCCTGCACAGGTCCTGCTGCCTCCCACTACAACGGCTTCCTTTGATTATCTTTGTGACAGGTTGGTAGAAACTTTACTTTTTCACCCAGTTCTCTCATTTTGCACATCCACAACTCCTTCCTTTAAGCACAAAGCTCCCTGCTGCTCTGACCAGGCCAGCATCCCTTCCCTCCTTCAGGAGACCATGACACAAACCCTTTCTTCTGTCCCTCAAGGCAAAAAGCACCCCCAAAACCCATCCTGCAGCTCCTGAGCTCTGTCTGGAGGCAGGCAGGGAGACACCCACCCGCTGCTTCTGCTCCTCGGTGCGCACGTCGCTGCGCACGTTGGCCCACGGGATGTCCTCGGGCCACCAGATGGGCTTGCAGCTCTCCTTGCCCCAGCCTGGCTTCCCACGACCCGTGGAGTACTTCAGCATCTCGGGGATGAAGGCTCTCAGCTGTGCCTGGAACAAAGAAAAGGTGGGGAGGTGTTTAGGAATTCACATCTTGGGTGTGTAGAGAATTATTGCGTTCCGCTTCCATCCTGTTGGAGCCATCAGCTGGAAGAGGCCTGAAAGCCCAAGGAAGGTGGACAATACTTTGCCATCTTCTCCCAGGACTCAGCTTGGCAGCAGGCGGAAGGGAAGAAACAAAATTCCATCAGCAAATACAAAATTACAACACCAAGGCACAGCCATTGTGTTGACACTTCACAACTCAAATACTACCAGGAAGAGAATGAGCCAACCTGAAATGGAAGAAAAAACCCCCAAAAAAATCACAATAACCTATGAAAAAACCCATAATCAATGTCCCTACAGTGGCAGGAGCTCAGGCATGAGCTGATGTATCATTTACAGAGATGCTGTGAGGGGATGGAGCTTCAGTGA